AGGGAGGAGCTCCTGCAGCATGCCCCACCTGGCTAAGGTGGGCCGCGCTGGGCCACAGGGCAGTTGGCGCGGGAGGGACACATGGGGCAGAGCAGACAGGCCCAGGCTCGGGGGTGAGGCTGAGCCTGCCAGGGCCCTCTGCCAGCCGGGGGCTCCTTACATCAGTGTGTCTCCTCCTGGCTTTCTTCTTGGAGAGTTTCAGGCCTGTGCTCTTCCGGTCCCTGCAGGGGAGCCAGGGAGGACAGGGGTTGGAAACACAGTGGGTCCTCACCAGGATGTGTTGTGAGTGGGCCCTGGCTGCCTACCCACACCTCCAACAAACACCCCAAGTGACCAAGTAACTCAGGTGCCCTCGGGCGGGCCAGGGCCCAGGAGGGGCTGTGCGCCCTCTGGTGGCCACCACAGGAATCACACCCAGGGGTACCTAGTCCGTGAAGCCAGGAGGCTGGCCCAGGCTAGGTGGCCTCCCCCAGGAATCAGGCAGCCGCAGAGACAGGGAGGGGTCTCCAGTCAGCCCTTCGGAAGCCGCTGGTCCCTGGATCTCTGATCTCAGACCCAACCTTGGGACCCCAGTGTCTTCTTGCCCTTCCCCTCACCTACCCTTTGCCGTCCACTGAGCTTTCCTCCTCCTCCTCCAGGTCCACTGCAGGGCTGGTGCGTGGGGGGCATGACCGCGTGGACACGTTCCGGGCCAGGACAGAGCCTTTAGGGTAAAACGAAGCGGGTTGTGCCCTAGCTGGTGTGGCTCAGTGGATAGAGCATAGGCCTGGGGACTGAAGGGTCCCGGATTCGATTCCGGTGAAGGGCACATGCCTGGGTTGCGGGCTCGATCCCCAGTGGGGGGCGTGCAGGTGGCAGCCTATCAGTGATTCTCATCATTGATGTTTCTATCTCTCTCTCCCTCTCCCTTCCTCTCCGAAATCAATAAAAATATATATTTAAAAAGGAAAACAAAAACAAAACGGGGCGGGTTGTGCCTGCTCCCTCGCCGGCCCCCTCCCTAGCCCTCCAACACGGCCACCGCTGACCCTGTGGCCCGCCCCCCAACTAGCCAGGGCCCTTTGTTCGCTGAGGAGAGGTGCTCGGTCGCTGCTTAGCACCTAGTCACCCCAGACTCAAAAAGACACAGGGCCCTGAGAGGACACCGTAGGTGATGCCCGCTCTCAGTACAAATCCACCTGCGGCCTCAGTTTACCCTTCTATGAAATCGGGACCAGGAAGCCAGCCCCTGGGATTCCTCAGGAAGGGCCCAAGGTCCATGGCTCTTTCTTTCAGGCCTCCCCACTCCCACCCTGTGGCCAAACCCAAAGTCCCAGGAGGCCTGGCGGAGAGGCAGTCTTTTTAGTGCCTCTAACCAGCTGAGAAGGAGACAAAGGGCTGGCCCCCCAGCACAGCCAGTTGGCAGGGGGCCTGGGCCAGGTCCCTATTCAGCAGAGGGGTTTCTGGTTTCCGGCTACAGGTTCCTCTGACCTGCCCCCCTCCCCCCACCCCCAGCCCCGACGCTGGAAGATTTGCCCAGAAGTGGCCTGCCCGAGGACAGAAAGAAAGGGACCGTCTCCTCGCTGGCCCCCGTCCAGGTGCAGGGCAGCTGTGGAGGCGCAGACCCAGCACCTGGTAGAGACAGGGCTGCCCCTGAGATGGGGCACAACCCCCAGCCCTTTCTCTTGTTTAAAAAACTTGTAGAGCCAGGCCGGTGTGGCTCAGTGGTTGAGCGTTGACCTATAAACCAGGAGGTCACGGTTCGATTCCCGGTCGGGGCACATGCCCGGGTTGCAGGCTCGATCCCCAGTGTGGGGCCTGCAGGAGGCAGCCGATCAATGATTCCTTCTCATCATTGATGTTTCTGTCTCTCTCTCCCTTCCTCTCTCTGAAATCAATAAAAACATATTTTAATAAAAAACAAAAAACTTGTGGAACAAAAGGGACTGAAACATACTTGCGTGTCATCATTTACAGTCAACTCTTGTCCTTCTGACAGCTGTCCTGGCTCCCCCAGTTACCAAGACACGGTGCCCCCAGAAAGGGGTGTGGGGCAACCCTGGGAACTCCGGGGCCAGGCGGGGCACCCCGATCTGTGCTCACCTTGGGGGGGCAGGTCGAAACGGACGTGCCCGTCATAATGCATGGCGCTGTGGAACTTGCTGTCACAGGCCTGGCAGAGGTTGAGGGGTCCCCGGCGGTGCAGCTGCTGGCAGTCGGCGTGGTGGCATACCTGTGGGCGAGGATGGGAGGTGGGCTGTGGCCAGACCTCTGCCTGGCCCAGGGGGGCCTCCTGGCCCCTCAGGCGCTGCCCTTCATTTCCAGCCACGCTCTCCCCACGGGTGCCTGGTGCTCGGGAATTCACTCGACAAACGTTTCCCAGGCACTTACTTTGTGCCACTCTGAGGGATGCAGAGAAACCCCACGCCCTGCCCAGCCATGCAGTGCCCAGGGGCAGACTTCGAGTAAGTAACCAGAGGTGGGTGCAGCCAGGGCCTCTTCCTGGGGCGCAGGCAGGAAGGACACCCAGAAACGAAGCTCAGGCTGCCGTTCGGTTTGGCAGCACGGTGTCTGCACCAGAAGGCGCCCCGCCTCCCGCTCGGAGCCTCTGCCCTCGGTTCTATGGCCTCGCTGGTCCTGAACCGCGGACCCTGCCAGGCTCCTAAGTCAGGAGGGAAGGGGGATGGAGGCACCCGGGACAGGGGTTGGTGTTGGGACCCCATGAGGGGTCCATGCAGTTGCTTAGTGACATGGTCCCAGATTTACCTTATCATCCTGGCCTCTGCTCCCCCAGCCACCAGGGATGACTTCCTATCTCCTCCATCCTCCAACCTCCCACAGCTCACCCCCACCGTCTCCCGGAGACGCTGCTTCCTAATTTTTTTAAATGTTTTTTATTGATTTCAGAGCGGGAGGGAGAGATAGAAACATCAACAAGGAGAGAGAATCAGTGATCGGCTGCCTCCTGCAGGCCCTACACTGGGGATGTGCTCGCAACCCGGGCATGTGCCCTGACTGGGAATCGAACCGTGACCTCCTGGTTCATAGGTCAACATTCAACCACTGAGCCACGCCAGCTGGGCAGCTTCCTACATTTTTTAGGGAAACGGAAATATCAGAAGGGGATGCCATGAGCTCCCTCCATCACATTCACCACCTGCCCTGGGCTGTGGGGGGCTTGGCCCTGCTCCAATCCAAGGCCAGCCTCTGGCCAAGGTGCAGACACAGGGCTTGGCATTTGCCACCTCCTACCTCCTCAGGTCACCCCTCCACAATGGCTCACTCCCATCTGCACATGGCATGGCACCTCTCATCTCAGCTGCTCTCCAGCTCCCTCCTTCTCCTCCAGCTAAACTCTCTAAAGCAGTGGTTCTCAACCTTCCTAATCCGCGACCCTTTCATACAGCTCCTCATGTTGTGGTGACCCCCAATTTCATTGCTACAAATTGAACATAATTAAAGCATAGTGATTCCTCACAAAAACAATATGTAATTATATGTTTTCCGATGGTCTTAGGCGACCCCTGTGAAAGGGTCGTTCGACCCCCAAAGGGGTCGCAACCCACAGGTTGAGAACCACTGCTCTAAAAGGTCTTCAGCCCAAGACGGTTTGGCTCAGTTGTTAGAGCATCAGCCCTCGTGACTGAAGGGTCATGGGTTCGATCCCAGTCACGGGTCAAGAGCACGTTGCAGGCTGGATCCCCTGCCCGGGTCCCAGGTCAGGGCACCTGCAGGGGCAACCCATGGATGTCTGTCACATCATTGTTTCACTCTGTCTCTTCCCCTCCCTTCCACTCTCTCTAAAAACCAACGGGAAAAATATCCTCAGGTGAGGGTAAATAAATAAAAATAAAACAGGTCTCCACGCCGAGACCGGTTTGGCTCAGTGGATGGAGCGTCGGCCTACGGACTGAGGGGTCCCGGGTTCTGTTCCGGTCAGGGGCGTGTGCCTGGGTTTCGGGCATATCCCCGGTGGGGGATGTGCGGGAGGTGGCTGATTGATGTTTCTCTCTCATCGATGTTTCTGGCTCTCTGTCTCTCTCCCTTCCTCTCTGTGGAAAATCAATAAAATATATTTAAAAACAAACAAAAAAAAAAAAACAAAAAAAAAAAACAGGTCTCCACGCTCACCACTTCCCGGTTCTCTCTTCTCATTTCTCTCTCTTTCCCAACTTTTTGTTTTAAAATATTTCAAACCCACAGCAAGGTGTCAGACTAGAACAATGACATCCACCCACGCTCCCCGCTTCCCCCGTTGTTCACGTCGCCACACCGACTTTCCGTCTCCTCTCGCCACCCCTCCCCCTCTCGCCACCCCTCCCCGGCGAGAAACCCTGATGCCGCCTTCGAGCACAGACGTCCTACGAAGCCCAAGACAATCGACACACCCTGGACCCTGGACGGGGCTGTTCGGCCCAGCCAGGAGCATCGGCACGTCCCCGGCCGGGTGAAGGGAGGCTTCTCCGTACAGGAGCCAAGCAAGGTCTGCACAGGCATTTGGTTGTCCGGTTGTTCCTTTCAGAATAAACGCCCCTATCCCGCCCGGTGGCTCAGTTGGCTCCATCCTATACCCCAAAAGGTTGCAGGTTCGATTCCCGTCAGGGCACATACCTAGTTTGTGGGTCGATCCCCAGTTGGGACCTGTACAGGAGGCAACATCGATGTTTCTCTCTCACATGGATTTTCTTTCTCTCCGTCTCTCTCCCTTCCCTTCTCTCTAAAGACAAAACAAACACAACAAAAACAAACAAGCATGTCCTCGGGTGAGGATTTTTTAAAAATTGTTTTTAAAGAAGTACCCGATACTTTTTTTGCTGGGGTGGGGGGGGGGCGTGGGCCTTTTGTGACACAGGTTGTTTTTGTTACTCCTCACCCGAGGACATTTTCCACTGATTTCAGAGAGACTGGAAGGGCGGGGGAGAGACAGACAGAGAGAACAACATCGATGTGAGACACACAGACTGTCTGCCTCTCACACGAGCCCCAACCAGGGCCGGGGACCCAGCCTGCAAGTGAGGTACGTGCCCTTGACCAGATAGAACCTGGTACCCTTCAGTCCACAGGCCGACGCTCTACCCATTGAGCCGAACTGGCCAGGGCCACACCGATGTTTTAAGTGGCCAAGCAGGAAACCCTTCAGGTGACTTTACAGAGGACAGCAAGGTCCCCAAATGACCTGGCACCTGGGTGCACTGAGGTCACGCTGTCTTCCAGGCAAATCGCCCGCGGGGCAACCTTCTGGTGCACAAGGCGACACTCCAACCACTGAGCCACCGGCCAGGCACATGGCTCCAGATCCCAGGTTTCCACCACACTCACGCCACTGCCTGGTGCCTGAGAGGGAGCATGGAGGGAGGCTGGCCTGGGTCAGCCGGGCCATGGAGACCAAGAAAAGTCGCTGCTTTGGTTCCTGTGTCCCTCACTCCTCCCCTGGACAGAGGCGTGGCTGGCAGGACACTCACTCGGGGCTCTGGCCCCAGGCTTTAGCCCTTCCCCCCAGGAGGCCCTCAGCCGCCAGCTCGGCAGCCCTCGCGCCCTCTGAGGCCAGCCTGGCACAGGGGCCCCTCTGACCCGGTCCCCCCCCCCCCCCCAGCTTCATTTGCTGGTGCCAGGCTTGCCCCCTCCCCCCCCTTCTCCCACCTCCATCGCCAAACCACAGGGTCTCCCGCAGCTCGCTCCAGGGCGGGGTCTCCCAAGAGCGAAAGGGGGGCAGGCCCTTCCCCTTCTCCCAGACCAGGTGCCCACCTGCCTGCTGCCCACCATTCCCACCCTCTGAGGGCGTGGGGAGGGGCGGCAGGGTCCGGGGACCAAAGTTCGCGGGACTCAGTCCAGAGGGCGCGCCCACGGGAGGCCACTGCCACTCCACGGGCCGCGGAGGGGCCTCGGGAAGCAGGTCCAGGCCGCTCCGTGGGGAGGGGGCGCCAGAAGTGCCCCCCCCCCCCCCCCGCTTCCCCCGAGGGCGGGGCCGAGGCAGGAGTAGGGGTGTGGCGGGCCTGGGCCGAGGCAGGACGGGGGAGGGGTGCGCGGCTGGGGCTGGGCCCGGCCCGATGTGTCCGGAGGCAGCCCAGACACAAAAGCCCAGGCTGGGGGTCCGCCCCCGCCCCCAGGCCCCGCGAGGCGGGAGGGCGCGCTGCTCAGGGCCCAGCCCCCCTCCCCCAGGGGAGCGCCGTCCGGCCCTGGAGGCGTCCCCACGCCCGCCCCGGCCCCCCGCGCCCCTACCTGGCCTTCCCTGTCGCGGGCGAGCCCCCCGGCCCAGCAGGGCGCCGAGTCCCGGGAGGGCACCCCGGGGCCGGGCCTGGAGGCCGCGCGGCGCCCCGAGACGCCGAGCCCGGTCCCCATGGCGCCCGGAGGAAGCGGCGGTGCGCGCCGCGGGCCGGACAAAGCGCGGAGCCCCGCTTCCTGCCATTGTGCGGCCGCGCCCGCCGGCCGAGCGCTGGGACCCGGGGGACAGCGGGGGGCGGACGGGGGCGCCGGGAACACCGCCCGCCGGCCGCGTCCGGCCCGCCCCCGCCCCCCGCTGTCCCCCGGCCTCCACCCCGGAGCCAGGCCCGGGGCTCAGTGTCCCCAGGACCTGCTTCTCCCGGGGGAGCTCCCCGAATGCTGGTGGCGGAAGCGGGGGGCCGGGACAGGGGCACAGTCCCCTCCGGGGCTCAGACCCCCGCCCCGTCCAGCCCCGGGACACCCTCTGCTCTGACCTCCAGCTTCCCAGCCACATCCGGAGCCGCAGGCGGGGCGCTCCCCAGCCCAGGCTAAGCGGCGGCCGGCGACCGCAGGTGCAGCGCAGGGGGGCAGGGGGGGCAGTCCTCTGGGAGCCGGGTCAGGAAAACCCCGAAGCCCAACTCGCCTTTCCCGAGGTCCCTGCGGCTCCAGCGGGGTGCACCCACGTGCCCCGCCGCCAGGGGGCGCACACGGAGCCCGAGAGGAGGCCACCAGGATGGGGTGTGGTGCTGGGGTCCCCACTGCAAGGCGTCAAAGCGCCTTTACCCTCCTCCCCAGGAGGTGGGAGCGGGCACTGTGGCCTCCATCCGAGTGTGGGGAGACGGCGAGGTGAGTCCGGGACCCGAATCCAGGCTTCTGACCCTGGGGTCCTGGAACCGACACTCCTCGGTCCCCATGGGGCGAGGGGAACATGCCATCGCCAGCCCACCACCCCTCCGACAGCTCCTCAATCTCTTCCACAGAACGAGGGTGCGGAGGGCTCGCCTCTGAGGATGGCCCGGAGGGAGGCAGCCT